ATTTTTTATTTGATACTTATATTTAATCTCTTACAGCAATTAATGTTAATTAATTTTCACGTTGGAAACTGGAAATTTTATGGACATTATTTTATTTTCATAGACACAGAGAATTTCGAAATAGAAATACACTGCATATATATTCATAATATAATATAGATAATGTTTTAAGTTAATTTTCATATCTTATTCGGCATAATAAATCGAATATAACAAAACAATAATACAATATTAAACGCATTTCGCTAAAAGAATTAAAATAATTTTCTACTTTCATACAAAAAGTCTCTCATTTTAACAATAATATTGTTAATTCTAAATAAACAAAAACAAAATTGTATACATAGAGAAATGTATTTACAAAGTGAAGTTAATAGTATAATTATTAATTATAAATTTAGTATTAATAGTAAATTTTACAATTATTTCTTTAATTGTATCTAAAATAGTAATAAGTTCAAAACCACATAACTATAAAATTTTGTTCTGTTTTTAATTTAATTAATTATATAACTACATTTGGTTATAATTGATCAAGCAACCAATATTTTGAATTTATTTATTATTATATTTTTATTGGAACATTACTGAATAAAAAAATATTCAAAATTACAAAATTTAAATGACTTTGTGGTTGGTATCAAATATGTGCGGTTTTCTCTATTTCTATGTGACTCTGGTAGTTTGTGATTGGTTTATGCAAAGTTCTAATAATTCCGCTTCGCGAACCCACGCGAAAGTAAACAGTACGTTCCGCTTTCAGAATTAGATATTTTCTGTAAAACTTGAAAGCGAGAATCACATTTTCCTGCGGTGCAATTTTTAACATTTCGTTATATGCTCGTATATAACCAAATCATCACCAACCAAATATAGTGTTACTTGTATCCATCTTTGCATATCCATCACAGAGAACGGGAATTGGAAATAAATTAAGTATTTCTATATCGATTTTCAACTAAAATTATTCCTCGATGTATCATGAATATCAAAAAAATACACTATTTCAGCTTTATAATTTAGTAATATAATCTCTATATTAACTATTAAAATAAAATTTTAAAAAATAAGCCCAATGGAATAATATTTTTTTGTTAAAGAAAAAACATAACCAAATTATTCATTCAGTAATTAAAATATTTGATATTATTCCACATTGTTGAGATTTTGGAATAATATGAATAATTTACATGAAATTTCAATTAATGTAAGAAAATTAATGAATTCCAGACTTGATTACAAATTTGTATCATCACACAACCCTTTTATGGATTATACAATAATATTTTGTTAAGTAATCTGAATATTTGATTAATTAGACACTTTAAATATTTAATTTATTCTTGAGTTTGCAATTTCCAAGAAATGTTGATTTTATAATAGTTCCAAATTCAATAACTATAAATATATTAACAAAAATAGAAATTATCTTTCTGAAATTTAATTTTTTAGTTTTTTTTTATACATATTATCAAATGTCAACTACAAATATTGTACTTTTAATGTTAAATTATATTAATTTTTTTAACAGAATTATTTTGTATAAATAAACAAAAATAAGGATATTCTTTAAAGGAAGTTGTTGAAAATGTTAACCTATTTATGAAAACTGCCAAATGAGACACTTCCAAGTCCGGATTTCGACCTCCGCTGGGATTCGGCAATCTCTAAACCTCTTACACAATTCCAACATTTTGAGCTGCTTACATCGCCGTTCCTAAACTGCAAATTTCATCGGCAATATTTTATTTCCCTAACCAAAGCGAAATGACCAAAAATATTCAAATTACACCCCCAATTCATATATATTGTATAATTCATGCATTTGCAATTTATATGGAAACATTTTGATATTGATTTTAAATTTTGTTCTGCACAATAAAACGAATACACAAAAAAACTATATATGTATAACAAAACATGAAACGTATTTTGCGGAATTGCGCACCACATTTTTCTGTTGTTTATAATTAATACTTGATCGTTCTATTTATTTTTGTTTTATTGAAAATTGGAAAATTGCGCAGCAGAATGATTTCCATTGTTGTTGAGTTTTTGGGTTTCGGTAATTATTAGTTATTTTTTAATTTAGAATTTGTTTATTTTAATCTGCAAATATTGGACGGCTTTGGTCGAGTTTAATACCGCTGCAAACGGATTGTTTTCGGTTCGGACAACAAATATTGGCACGGCTTTGGTAAATAACGTAACGGAATATACAACAAACAACAACACAAAAAAAATAACAAGGACAAAAGAAGAGAAATGACAGTAAAAAAAATGAAAACGGCGATTAGTTTCAATTTGGATTGGAATTATTATTTTTAATTGTCTGCCCCGAGAGTCCCTTGGAAGTTCGGATTATTACACCCTTTTTTATCTTTTGCGAGCAGTCGAGGATTGTGGACGTTTTTCGCGTGTTAATTGCACGGCTTGCTTCCTGACAGCTGCATGACTTCATTGCAGGAATTAGAAGGGCATATACACACGCTCGCTATTTGAAAATTCCGCAGAGCGAACACAAAGCCCCCTTTTTTTCCCACTGAATATCTGTCTCCGGTTTTATCTTTCGGACGTTTAAATCAAACTACGTGCGTTTTCTCTTTGTTGCTCTTTGTTTAATCGTCGGCTTCTTTTGCTTGTAATTAATTGGTTCATATTGAAAAGAGTTTTGCTTTTGATTCGATGTATCAAACGAATGGTTATTAATTGGCATAACGTGAATACACAACAAACGTAAACACGTAGAGAATTGATGAAAAAGTATGGATTTTATGAAAACTTGTTTTCCACTTTTTATTTCTTATATTCCGAATCAATGTGTATATATAAAATTGTGGCCAATAAATATGTTTAGTTAATAAAAGATATTAATACTTGATATTTAATTAATTAAAAAATATTATTAAGTAACTAATTTTATTGGTTCATTTTTGACCTTAGTTTTTCCGCTTTTACAAATATTTTTTTTATATATTAAGATAAAATTAACATAAATGCGCATAGAATTAACTATGGTTTTTATAAAATATTGTTCTTTTCTATAAGATTTATCTTTAAATATTTAAGATAAATATATTTTGCATGCTTTATTATTTTATATTTTTATCGTGAAAATTCGTTACTTATGATAAAAACTCAATGATAACGAATATATTGATTTTAATTAATTAATTCTTATTAAACATAAGTTTATTTTATTTCTTTGCCAAAATCATTATTGAATTTACTGTATCATTTTCTATTTCTTCTAAAAAATTTACTGGTTTTCGAAAATTTGGTTTCAAATTTATGGACGATTTATTGTCTTATTTAAATAATATTTAAAGAGATGTAAATTAAATAAAATACTTTTCTAATGTGATTTTTTTTTAAATTATTTACCTGAATATGATTTTAATATTAATTTCCTTAGGATATAAATTAATCATCATAATACTTATTACACATTAACAATAATATTGTTAAATATTTCACGAGTCATCATACACTTGGGGGTTTTAATTTCTAACTGAAACTATTCACGTGTAAGGAAATGAAAAAGGAAATGAAAATGCGAACCAGGTGGGCGAATAAGTAAATTATTTGATAGAAGAGAGCAATGCATTATGTAAGCCGGAAGTGAACAAGGTTTAATTCCAACCTTTAAAATGAAAAACCTGCACAAAAGAGGGGGAGCTATAAAAGGACTGTGCAGGAACTATCAACGCCTTACTGACGTGCTGAAATTTAATATATAATATTAGAGCTGAGTTATTATTGAATTTATCTCAATATTTATATCATAATATATTTATTTTTTTATCCTATAAGGATATTTCATTTTACATCAATACCTCGCATAGTCCAGCTTGGATCAGTCCTAATTGAATGTAGTCCGATTTTTAAAATTATTCTAAAATAAATTGTAAAAAAAATACTAAACATAATCTTCTTATTTTACATAAATATTCTTTTGGTTTCTTTTGTACAGCCAAATCACTTTATATGCTGTATATTTTTGTATGTACTTAGTCCAGTTTTAAACATTATATTAATATAAGCTGTTAAGCTGTCAATTAATTTAATTATCATAAAAATAAGTAATTTTAGAATATAACTTTACTCGGTTATGAAAAGTTGAGAACTAGTTTTGAGCGGGGTTATTGTGCAAATATTTACGAAAAATCAATGAAAACATTAAAAAAGGTGAAAAAGAAATATTGTAAACAATAGTTGCCTTTTGGGATTTGCATATATGTAGGACATTTTTTATCCATAAGGCTCGTATTGAGTCGGTCAGTGGATGCATGTTTTATTGGTACTGTTTAAATGGAACCGTGCTTTGAAGTATCTGGATCAAACATTATGTATTAGTGAATTTAGCCGGTGTGCACAAATTCCTTTACGGATATTTGGCGTAGTTTTGGGTGGAATGAATTAATTGGATCAAAATGATGTTTAATTTATCAACGCTACTGTTGTTGTTCGGTGATTGCAACCTGCGCGAAGTAATCTCGCTTTAATACGGTTGTTCGGTGTTGAGAGAGGTCGGCGGTGCTTTTATGTTAAATACTTACCCTATGCTATCTATGGAATTACCACCGGTTACTAGTTTTTAAGGCCGAAAGGGGATTTGAATATCAGCCATGAGTGGTAATTCGTGCGCACTTTTCGCCAGTTTCGAGATGAGTTATGGCTTCGGTTTCCCGCTGCTGATTCTTTCTGTTACGTCACCGTACTTTTCCACGTAGAGCATTTTATATTTTATTTACGATTTTCTCTGAAGGGTGCGATGGATCAACTTAAAATTTACGACGACCCAAGCATGGCCTCAACACAATGTGACACTAAATTCAAGGTAAAACCAACACATACACACGAAACCTTCCTTCCTTCCTCCACTTCACTATTCCAGATCTCATATTTTCTTGTTATTTTTATTTATTATTATTTTTCGTATTGTTTTATTATTTTGTTTTCTTGTACTTTATTTGTTGTTTTGTTTCTCTTTCCGTCAGGGTTTCAATAATGAACATTCCCTTTTACCAGACGATTCAGAAAACGATCTGTTGCTAGACGTAAGATCCACAGTTTATTCTTTATTTTCATATCATTCTTCACGCGTTGCTGTTATTAATGAAAACGTTAGCGGTTTTGTGGGGAAATGCGTATAATTCGATGATTTGTAGGTTGAACGGGATGATTTAGATGAACATATTTTCCCGGAGGGCAGCGGATCCGACGGGCTACTGGCATTTCCGCCTCCCCCGCCCCCACCGAATGGTAAGCATTGTATCTGTTTGAAAGAGAATTGTTGCAATAAATCCTTTGATGATGATGATGACGCTGCTATTGCTACTAAAGGACCAATACAATATATTGGCCAGAAAGGAGATTCAGGACCTAGGGTAAATTTTAAATGGATTATATCGAACTGATATATTGAATTATACGTGATGATATGTTTCAGGGTCCGCCGGGTGAGTCGATCAGAGGTCCTCCGGGACCGCCTGGTCCTCCCGGACTACCAGGAATTCCAGGAGAAGCACTTGGCGGCGCAGGGGTAATTTGTGAGATTAATCGTTTGAGCTGTTTATTTATCTTATTTGTTTGTGCAAAAAGGGCACGTGTAGTTGCAATATGACTAGTCTAATGAATTCATTTATGATGCCAAAAATGCTCCCGGGACCTTCGGGTGTTCCCGGGGCGGAAGGTAAAACGGGCCCACCCGGTATGACCGGACAACCGGGTGTTCCCGGGGAAAGGGGCGCTATTGGACCGCCCGGCGAAAGAGGAGATCGTGGGGAGAGGGGCTCTATGGGCCCGGAAGGTATGCAAGGACCGAAGGGCGAATCAGGACGCGACGGAATACCGGGACAAGCCGGACCTCCGGGTCCTCCTGGTCCTCCAGGTCCAGTCGAATTCGAAAACCTAGACGTACGTACATTTCATTCATCTCATTTCATTTTCAACAACTATTAATGAAATCACTATTAACTAATAGCCAAGCTGGAAACCCAGAACTTCCTTCAAGGTACTAACATTACTACCCCTTAATATTATTAGTTTTAATTCTCGATGTTAAGCAGAACATGTAACATATTGTGATCATTTTTATTTAGGATGCGGTTTTGGGTGCCGGCGCCATAAGACCCGGAACTCCTGGTAACAAAGGTGAAGCCGGATTACCTGGTAGTCCCGGATTAAGAGGTGAGCGAGGTTTGCAAGGCACCAAAGGTTCTCGTGGAGAATCCGGTTCAAAGGGAGAGCGAGGAGATCGCGGATTTCCAGGAGAAAAAGGACCACAAGGTCCGAAAGGAGAACCGGGAAATCCCGGTTTGGATGGTTTACCCGGTACACCCGGAGCAAATGGAAAGAACGCGGAGAAAGGCGAGAAGGGTGATTTTGGACCACAAGGTCCTCCTGGTCCGCCAGGTTTACCCTTCGAATTTGGTGATAAGGAGTATGCTAAAACTGTAATTGGTCAGACAGGACCTAAGGGAGACTTAGGTGAACAGGGTTTGAAGGGAGAACGAGGTGAGAACGGTGAGGCTGGTATTCCCGGCGTTCCTGGTAAGAATGGAAATCCGGGGATGGCTGGAGAAAAGGGTGAACCTGGAAACGGTGGTGCTCTTGGACCTATTGGACCACCAGGACTTAAGGGCGAAAGAGGTGAAAGGGGTCCTCCGGGACCGATTAGCGTGGTGGACTCGAACGCTCAGTTCGTGTCGGTTAAGGTAAATATGATTATTTCAGTGGAATGAGATTTAATGCGCGATAAATTTAAAGGGCGAAAAGGGCGATCTGGGTAAAAGGGGAAGAAGAGGTAAACAGGGACCGCCAGGACCTCCAGGGAAAACAAGTGCAGTCGGTGAAATGGGATTGCCTGGCTGGATGGTAAGATTGCAAAGCAAATAACATTTGAATTAAATTATACGTTTATTTGTTTATTTATTTATTTACTCGATGCGCACAGAATAACTTCAAGGTATAATATTTAATATTTGCTTATACAAAACTATGTACACATTTACTTAACAATATATTTTCACCAGGGAAGGAATGGATCCCCCGGCATTAAAGGAGACAAAGGTGATTCCGGCGATGGAAAGGTAATTTATTTAAATAAGACCAATTAAATACAACAATTCATCTAAAAAGACGAAAATTTCAAAGAAATTTTATAACTAAAATCACAATTCATTGAATGCATATATATTAGTGTACATACTACTAAGTTTGATTCATTTTATTGTAAATTTATAAGTTATAGCTAACACTTTACTTTAGCACTTATATAATATTATTCCTGCACCATTTATTTGCAAATAACATTTTTTTTTTGGCTCGTCCATCTTATGTAGATGATGTAATGAGATCTACTTAAGTTTTTTTTTCTAAGATTGATATTGGCTTTGAAACGGTCCCTCACGAACGCCGATCTTTTTTTTGCTACGATTTCCATCGACTTTTTTACTTACATAGCCCCACTTTGGGTGAATGAATACAAGCTATAAATTTTGTGAATACTTACGCAAAAAGAAAACTCAAAAAAAAGACGAACTTCTGACTCTCATTTATTGTCATTTATCAGTACGTAATCTCTTTCAAATTTATAGCTGTTTACATGCTTGTTTTGTCGCAATTTTACTCTTCACCCAAATAACAATAATGTATAATGTAATAGAATATTTTTTTTCACATAATGTGTACAATATAGAATTTTTGCAATATTTGAAAAAAAAATACATAACGTGAAACAATAATGTAATTTATGTAATTTCTTAACAGTATATTTTATTAATTCATAAATATAAATTTAAATTTGATATATAATGTGGCCATTATTATTGTTATGGTATAGTATTTTGTATAGGTATAACAGAAGTTGTATTCACTGATTTTCAGGGTCCGAAGGGTGATAGGGGAGATCGCGGCACAGATGGAACTCCCGGTCGTGACGGATCCCCAGGTCTGCCCGGTCCACCAGGAAGTGAAGATTCTGTGCGTTACATCCCAGTACCGGGACCACCAGGTCCACCAGGAGCACCCGGAATGCCGGGCATCTCATTAACAGGCCCTAAGGGAGAACCGGGGGTGTCGCCCTACGGTGAGCCGATCTTTAACTTGAGACCGGGTAAGTGAAAATATGTGGAGCGCAAGTGAGTCGCTAATAAAGTAATGAAATTAATGCAAACGAAGGACCTAGAGGTAGTTTGGAGGAGCTGAAGGCGCTGAGGGAATTAAAAGAATTAAAAACAGGTAAACTTTAGGAAAGGGGGTAGTTGTAGTAAAGGGGTGCATTATCGTCCCGTGCAGCGGGGGATGATGTGTTTGAATTAAATTATACGAGCCAATTAATTTAAGTATAGCGCGCGCGAGGGGATGCGATTTTCTTCACTTAGGGAATACAGTTCTTTTTTTTCTTTTCTTTTGGCGCCTGTATTTTTTTTTGAGCGTGGTTCGGATGGGCCAACATTGTCTTGGGTAATGTGTCTCTGTGGCCAAAATCGCTTTATGTGCCCCGTCGGGGCACTAAAGAACTTTTTATTTTACGTGCGCGAATTTCTCGCGTTCCCTTCATTAGTTATTAGAGGAGACGCAAACAAAATAAGAATGAAAATAAAACATCCCCGAGTGTAAAATATACCTTCCACCATCCTCCGGTTATGCCTAATTTTATTAAAACGCAAGCCTTCATACCCTTAACAGCAGCAGCAGTGGCACAGACGACGAAGGTTCCATTCCATCCACTTGCAGGAATCGATTTCGCCTTCTACATTAGGGGGCGGAGATATTCAATAAAAGCAAATTCAGATAGCGTGGAAGATACATATATACATATATTCACATACACACAGAGAGAACTCTACAAACGAATTGCTCGAAATTTAATATGAAACCCAATCATTTATTTACTGGTCTTGTTTTCCGAACGGGGCGCAATCGATGGATGCAAGGGATGGAATCGAAACGCGAGTTTTTTTTAATTAAAATTTTAAGAAAGCGCTCGCCTCCGTTAATTACGTTCCAGTATGAACGAAATTTGTCAGACGTCTTCCTTGTTATTAGTCAGGTCTTGTTGCTCGAAATGCTCCTTCGCATTCGCTCCTCTACATTACTTTAAACGGATTCATTAACCATGTCAACCGAATAAGCCTTTACCAAAAACCGGAGTCTAAAGCTTAGACTGTTAATATTATTTAGCCAAAGCAAACATTAACCTCAGTCTTCTCTATATTCCTATTTTAGTAATCCATTTTGATAAAACCAGGTTTGATAAAAAATATGAGAAATGTTTTATTTGATTGCAAATTAGCTATATTGTTGAAGTACATTATAAAAATTAATTTAATTTGAAGGTTATTTAATAAATAATAATAATATTCATTGCAACAATACATCAAAAAAACAAAATTCAACATTTCCATATAATAACAATAAAAAAATAGTCTTTTATTTTTTTGTAGTCCTTGTATTTTATCTGATTACAAACTTGATTTTATTGCTAATTTTCTTTATTTCGAACAAATTATAATTTTTGTATTTTCATTGTTGCAATATATATTATTATTAATTTAAATGCATTGTAAATAATACAAAACACACAATAAAAAAACATTTAATCAAATTAAACAATAAAATAAAATATGAACCCCGAAAAAAAAAAGAAATAATTGAAAATATGAATGTAATCGAATATAAATTCTCTCTCACAACATAATAGAAAATTATAATCAAAATAAATAAAAGTTACATAATTATTTTTCATAATATAAAATAAATAATTGTAAAATATCAGTAAAGATATTTAACGTAAAAAAGGAGAGAATAAATAATTGTTAAAAGTTAAATTTGATTCCAAACAAAACTACAATGCTACAATTCTTTAACTCTTTGAGGGGCGGTGGGAACCCAATGTACCTTTTTGAATATACTTAGTGGGGCATTATTTTAATTTATAGAAAATTTACAGGAAAGATTAATTTGGTTGGTAAGTCAAGGTATGAATCTTGATATTCGATGTTGATTCAGTTGACGAAGTTCTTTAGTTTAGAAATTTAGATTTTCTCTCTTCAAATAGTTAAGAGGAGACAAAAAAAATTATATGGAATATAAATCAGGATGGAATAATTGAGAAATTATTTGTTTTCTTTAGTAATAAAGAAGAACATATGAGAGAACTACAAATTTACGGTTGTTTTGTAAATGAAATATATATATTTTTTGTAATGAACGACTCTTTGTTAACTCGAGATAAGCAGAATGACTCTGCAGTAGAAGAGAGATGATATAAAGTCTTAACACTACACACATTGAAAGTAGAGTCGAGCGCTTATTTTATTAATATTATCTAGCAAAGCCGAAACTTTCTCCAGTATTCCCACATTTTTGTTTCGCCGTTGTTGTTGTTGTTGTTGTCATTTTATAGCTCTTTACCGCTTATACATTTTATATAATGTAACGTTTCCAACTTTCTGATAGAATTGTTTCTACGCTTTGCTCGTCACCGAGATAATACGATTTATTTATTTCGTATACGTTATTCGTTTGTAATAATATTATATACTTTTATCATTATTTTTCTCTTTCCTGTTGTCTCCATTTTATCTCTGAACTTTTTTTTTTAACTTTTAATGAAACGCTTTTTTATGGAATTGAAAAGTCCGTGAACGATAAAAATGATGCAATTAATTTTGTTTATTATAGTCTGAAATGAGGTGGATCTGAGCACTCGACAAATAAAACTTATGATTTTACATGAAATAAGCATAAAATAATAAGCTTTTGTACCGAAGTTTTTCTGCTTGCATAAATAATAATTTTCAAACAAAAACTACATAAAACAGACGAGGAATAATATGCTTTCGCAGCAAAAAAGCGGAATGCAAAATCATAATTGCTTTTCTCTATTATACGAATAAACGAAAATATTTTATGCTCTGTTTTAAATATGAGAGACATCAAATAATATTAAAATGTAATTGACTGAAGTCCTTCAGTCAATGAATATAATAAAAAATACGAACTTAAAAAGTACTTTTCACTTAAATTATTGCTTTTTCTATAAATAATTTAATACAAAATATTATTATATTTATTATAAAACCATCAAATTGCATCAAAATAGCAAGAAAAAAACATAAATTTTGCATTGCATAAATGGTTAAAAATATGAAATTTTAATAAGTCGAATTATCAATTGTTATAAATTACAGACAATAAATTAAAATAATGTAAAAAAAACAATTAAGAAAGATTATTGAATTATTGAAAGAGCAGGTCTATTTCTGAATCAAGTGATAGTATAAGGTATGAAGCTCTTAGAAAGTTATTTTCTGAACCGGAAATAATTTAAGACTATTTTTTGTAAGAAAGGAAATACTCATATTTCAAAGATGTCTTTGATTGAAATTTATTTTTTGTTGTTGTTTATGTTAATGCTGATTTCTCTACCCTAAAATGTGAGGCTCTTATTTTAAGTCTATTTTTAATAGTTGTTAAGTGGTTCGTAAAAAAACGGTTCAGAGTTATTCGAAAGTACAGTTAAACGTTTGGGATATCTGAAAATAACTTAATTTATTTAAAATGCACAGAAAATTGCGTATGCAGAATTCGGTGTAGGTAGATGGAAAAAGCGCGTCGGGCAATTTCTCAGTGTCTGTCACATCCAGGAATAGAAACGTGATTAATTAACTAATAAACCAATGATAGCAATCAAAAATGACAAATACCCTGCTTCGCGTAACTGCAAAGACCAGGAAGTTTCCACGAGTTGCATCTACCATCCGACCATTTACTGCATCCCACAGGGAGAAGCACTTCAGATAAGAACCAACAAAAACCCATACCAAAAGAAACATTAGTATTCAATTAAATAATTACTTTAGTTATCAAATAATTATTCAATCTTAGTTTAAACAAAAAGAACAATATTTTTATGTTAATTAATATTTTCATTAATGTTGCTTTTCTAAAGTTTCACTTTTCAATGTATTTGTTTTTATTATGATTATGGTAAAACCAATATTTTGTTGAATTTCAACAAGATTTGTTGTTTATTTAATATTTACTATAAAGAGGATATTATTTATTGGATTAATTAACATTCATTTAAATGATTGTTATTTTACTTAAAATTGGGAACTTAATAATACCGAAGCTTCATTCTCAGAGGTATGATTTAGTATCAAAGAATAAGGGTATTTCTATATAATCATATTGTCTATCAGTTTATTGACTATATTGACGANNNNAACAAAATTGTAACATGTTGAATAATATGAATTTTAGAGTGAATATACAATTTGAGTTGCTGAATTTTGAAGTGTTCGTAGTTGCATATAGAATGCGCTATTAGAAATTGTAATGAACAATCACCAATTAAAGTTATTGAATAACAAGAACTACAGACACAGGATATCCATTAAATAATACTCATCGGCAGCTCGGGAAATGCATAAATAACAATAGTCCACTGTTATGCATCGATAATGAAATATTTCAACAACAAAAATCAAAACTGGTTCATTTACTAAATTATATAATAAAACTGAATTGAAATAATATAAAATTTATATTATATTCATTATTTTGTTTTCATATAATTGTAATATAATACAATTTATATAATTGAAAAGATTATTTCTAGTTACTATACAATAATCAAAATATATCTAAACTACAATAACTACTAATATTGAGTTATTGAATTGCCGATTTTAAATTTGGATGGGAGTAGTCTTTCTTTTGAATGACTTCTATCAATGTTACACTTATATAGTTTTAACATTTGTCAACAGTGAACTTTAGCTTTCTTAAAAACCAAATTAAGTGTATTTTTATGAGATTTGTTTGCGTAATATATTTTTCTTTATTATTTCCTAAAAGAAAAAATTCAATACAAGTTGCTAAAAAGTTAAGACGCTTAGTTGGGTCACATTTAACGCCATCGAATTACCATTTGTTCAGAGCCTTACAAAATTCCTTCAATGATGATAATTACACTTAGTTCACTTTTGCTAAATAAAGACTAGAAGTTGACGGACAGATGGCAAAAGGTCATTGATCAAAATGGAAAATATATTATTGAATAAAATTTAATAATTATATAAAAAAAAACATGTTTCATTTGTATAAGAAAAACGGCAATTACTTTGTTTCCAACCCAATATTTGAATATAGAATTATATAATTAATACATCTAAAGGATGAAAAAACAGATTATAAAATTAACATTGCTGATACTAATAAACCTACGCAAGAACAATTTAGGTTAACTATACGATGAATTTGCATTAGAACCATGTAATCTGTAATTCGCACGAACGTTCACTTTAGCGTCGGACTCCGACATCTTATATATTTGGTATTGATATTTCATTAATAATGTACATTAAATGAGCTTTGTATCCAGTCAAAGTGTTACGATATCACTAAAGAAAACGAAGCAATATTGAATTTAAATATGCAATTAAAGTCATAAAGTTTCCTTTAGTTAATTAATAAATAAAGATCTTTAAAAGAAAATCAATTAAGTTTTCATTAGAAATTCGATGCTCAGAGTATATTTTTACAAAGATAAAGTCAAGTAAAATATGAAATATATTTGTGCTCACGCAATATATGTATTTTTTCATGTATGTATTTGTGTGTGAGCAGCTGGAATTAAATGTAAATATTGCAGAATGCACGTTCCCTTTATTCCGTTCCATTTTATTATTGTGCACTTGCTTCAATTTTTTCGCCGTTGAAAAACGTACACATTTTTGCATCGGAGCAATTTGAAAAATTAAGCCAGGATGTGTAAATATGCACGGATCAAGAATCAATTCGGAGCGTTCCGCAATTCGTGTCGACGTATCGAAATAAAATCGATGTTATGCATTACGTCCCAATTTCGAGACTTCCCCGTGTTTCACTAAGATGATGCATATTTGTATATTTATGTTGTGTGTACAATATTATGTGCATGTGCTGCTACTGCTCCCATGTTTATTGCGTGTTGCCTTTTCCTTGCATATTTCCCAACTTTTTTTTTTGTATGTTTGTTTTTTATACCGCGGACGAAGAGAAAATGCCGCGGGATTAAACAACTCCCGCTAATTTTCTCGGATAAATATATGGCATTAAAGTAACTTCAGCATTCCAACAATGGAAACTTTACCCGCCGGGCCGCTGCGGTACTTGAGTTTCTTGGAATGCCTTTTAATTTACATCCACACTCCAGAGACCAGTTTTTTTTTTCAGTACTTTTTTCGTCGGTCGTGTGCCTTTTACTTTGACATTATTCATGACAATATTCATTTCAGTTCACACTATTAGAGTCTTATAGTAATTTTCTATTTTTTTTTACATAATACATGTGTATAATAATTATGCTAAAAGTAATTATAATAATTTATTGGCCAAATAAAAATGAACGTAAATACAAAAAGTGTATAGAAAATACAACTTCTTCGTAAAAAGTAATCTATATACATATTATCCAATAAATAATATTTTAATTACATTTCAAAATGAACACAATTACAGATACACATAATTAAAACCTTTCTAACCGCCATGTTCTACAATATATAAATATGCTGCACTCATTGAATGATAATAGAGTCAATCAACCTCAATTGTCCAGTGCTCATTTTTAATTTATTGGAGCACTTTCAGTTGAAAAGCGGTGACAGAGGTTTGCTTTCAAAATAATTTTAAATTTCTCACATGCACATAAACAATTATTTTATACATATCGAAAACTAAAAATGGTTATCTAAAACTTATAAATTTGTTACTTTATTATTTTCTCACAGTTTATAATGCATTTCCAGTAAAAAACTTAATGTTTTCTACAACATTTTGTAAATACTTATAAAATGAGGAAAATATTGTTGTCTATAAAACTTTATCTATATTAAACATTTATTGTATTTAAATTAAGTTAATCTTGATAGTTAATAGTAATTCCCGAGATTTCTCGAGAATTTTAAAGATTTGTATTTTCCCGCCAATCAAACTGCATTTTATTATTAAGTCTTTATATTTATCTCTATTCTGTATTAGTTTAGTATACTCAATTGATATTTCTTTAACTTTGTGCACTATTTTCTGCCTAATTTTTTTCAAATTTTATTTTGAATTTATACGTATTCAGGAACAAAATGCGTGAAAAGTTATCCTTTTAAACTTGAATACATTCTAATCATTTGTTGTTTAAATATGTATCATGCGATACACACTCATCACATGATACTTCTCAAAGTACATTAAATTGCTTATAGATTTTGTACATTTCGTTCAAATAATTAGAACTTACTTAGGTATGTTGTCAAGTCAAGTATCCTTTAGTGTTTGGTTTATAGTAATCAGAAAATTACATCCACTTGACTATTACAAAAAACGCGAAATATTCTCTTTAATACTGTAATATATAATTATTAAATAAAAGTTGTAATTTAAATTGTTCAAAGTTATAAATCAAACTTTTTCTACGGTTCAAGTAGAGTAGATTTCAATCAGAAAGGGGCGTTATAATTAGGAAAATAAGGTTGGAAATTAAATTACGGCAACGGCAAAATATATATTACAGAAAAAAAAGTGGAAGCTTAATATTCCAATCGATAGAATGCAATCAAGAATCAATTAGAGAACGTAATAATTACGTACTCGCAGTGAACCTCACTTTTTTTCTTCTCTCTTCAATGTCGCATCGATTTTCTTCGCCGAAGAAGCTAGATTAAAATTGAGATGTAATTAAAGGCAGGGCTACGGCGAGTCCACCTGTGGAACACGATCACGGCGTATCCACTCGCATCGTTCCTGGAGCAGTCACCTTCCAAGATAGAGACGCGATGATGAAACTGACCAGCGCCAGTCCTGTGGGCACGCTGGCTTACGTAATCGAGGAGGAAGCCCTTCTGGTCAGGGTCAATAACGGATGGCAGTACATCGCAGTGAGTATTTCCACTTTGTCTCATCTGTTTTGTTAACTCATTTTTTTCTTTTCATATCTGTAATGCAATTTATTCTTGTCTTTAATATTCAACTATGTTTTTTTTTTACTTTTAATAATTATCTAGCTGGGATCGTTGATTCCTATAACCACCCCTGCACCGTCTACAACGAGCAGCCCTCAATTACGTCCGCCGTTCGAAGTCAGCAATTTGATTAATCATATCCCTAAGCAGGCCGACGTTCCCAACGTAAGTACAACCACTTTTATTAGTATTTATATTTTATTCAAACTTTGTATAATAATAATCTCTTAGAACATGTGATATTAAGAAATATGTTCTAGTTAAGTTAAGTATAAATCTGTCTTATTATATATACTTCTAACTTTT